AGGAGGGTTGTAGCTGTGGGATGTGGCTGGTGCTTGCTGGAGCAGGAGCCTTGTTTTCCTGGCATGTGTTTCTTGCGGTAGAGATTTGCATGTTGAATTGCAGCGCTGTATCAGTGATGATAAAAATAGCCATGTGCAAAGTGTTATCATAACCTCTGCTTTAGCTGTCACCCAGCCAAGCAGCGCACATGGACAACCCCGTCCAGCCCAGCACGAGGATAACTCCATCAGCCACCTGATGCACTTTCCCACTTCTCCTCTCTTAAGTTCTACCACTGCTTCAGCATCCAAAGCTATAACCAGTAGGGAAGGTGTTCGGTCTGCAAGGGGAGAGGAAGGCGTGGAAAATACCTCTGGAATAAATTCAAAGTGATTTATTTTTCTTTCTGATACATAACTTGTAATTCTTTTGGTGTATTTTTTTGTTTTTTCTGAGCAAACCATTGATTGCAAGTCTGGTTGGCAGACTGCTGAAACCTCTTAAATTGTCCTGTAAATACATATTTGCACCGAAAGTGTTTCAGTCCTCAAAGAGGGAGGTCAGCTGTGCCATGTGGCTGAAGAGCTCTGAGGCAAGCACTCAGAAAATGATTGCAGCAAGCAGGTTGTGAATAGCTTGAACAAAAGTTGTGTCCTTCGCAACAGGAGTCAGGAGGATGTTTGGAAGAGTCACTTGTCCAGTCTCAGTTTGTTTCCCCATTGTTGGTGTCTTTAGCAGGATGAAATCTTTGTAGAGCTGTTCATTGTCCATCCAACCTTGACTGGCTCCAGCGAGTGGAAGTCACTACCTGAAAGTCCTGTTTCTTCTTCAGTGCTGGCGAAAGCGGAGGCTCCTTTGATCCCAGGCAGGACCCCAGTCTCTGATCCCTGCCCCAAGCTTCTGATCCCACTTTTCCAGCTTCCCCATCTGGTATACCAAACCCAAGCGTGTCAAATCCTTTCAGCAACTCAGACCCTTCAGCCCTGCCTCCGTGGTCTTCCTGACCATCTGCGCCTCCATTCGCATCCTCATCCCTGTCCCCAGACCCAGGCACCCACCTCTGGCACCCAACTTCTCCCCGACAAGGTGCATGGAGGGGAGGTGACCAGCACCTGCGAGCGAGGGATGGAGCTGAACCTGCTCTTCTGCTGTTTGCTGCGCCGGGAATGCCCCTTCCCTTTGCTCAGCCGGCGCCCTGCGTTTGATATTGCAGCTGGGAAGCGGCGGCACTGACCTCTGGCCCCTGAGCCTGGGGTTTGGCAAGGCAGTGGGTAAACCGCCGCGGCAGCTCCGGCAGCTCCCTGTTTGCACAGGCGCTCGGGACGCGCGGATCAAAGGGCTCCGCATGAGTAAGAGCGGCCCAGCCCTGCACTTTGTTCACGACAAGAGCCTGCCTCTGCCTGCCTGGAGGGCTCGCGGGGCTTGGTGGGAGGACGTGGGTAACCCCGCAAGGTCCTCCAGGCAGTGTGCTTTGACCTCACCGGGGTGGCATGTAGACTCATTTGAGGGGGGTCTCAAAGCTGTCCTCCTTGGACCGCAGCAACTGGTGGGCTGTGGAAAGCCATGCCGCTCCTAATCCTCGACCAGACCTGCAGCCCAGGCATCGCCTGAGCTTCTCCCTGGTGAGCGTGGGGGATGGAGAGCAGGGAGAGCCATGTGTATGGGAGTCAGGGCCATAGACAACCCACGGCTGGGGCAGCCACAGCGGGGACCCGCAGAGGTTTCTGCTGGTTTGGGACGGGAGGGTTGCGTGGTGACCAGCAGGGACAGTGGGGCTGCAGAGCCCTCCCCAGCAAATCCAGCTCTGAAGCAAAGGGGCACCTGGCACAGACAGCTGGAGGGTTTGGTGTTGAGGTTTATGCCTTGCTGTGACTGCAAGCCCACCGACTAATTTGCCTCCACGACTACAGGGAGAAGCTGTCCGTGAACCGCAGAGCTCTCGCAAGAGCAGGCACTGCAGCTCCACACAAGTACAGAAACCAAGGTGTAAACTCAGTCTTAAGTAGCAGGTGCTTCTTTCTCCTGTGAAGAGACAGGGAGGCAGATACTTATCCAAATGGTAGATGTTAATACAGATGTACAATACAAAATGTCCACTGAAGCTTCTGTTCTTTTGGACAGGCAAAGCTGGCGGGGGAGCGTGGAGCCCGTGCGATCCTTTTCGACATTACCGATGATGAAAGCGCTGCTGATCAGGTACAAACCCCACGGGTAGGATCAGCTAAACCACAGTGCCCCCGTCCTATCCCCAAATGTGCCCAGGTCAGGACCCACCAGCCACCAACACGCAGTGGGAGGTCCCAGGAGGTTACTGCAGGCTGGCTTTGAGCGTTGGCTCTTACCCAGCTCATCCACGCACACAAAGACGGTGCTTTTCTCTTTTGCTCACTCCATGACATGTCCAGATCTCCACCCAGCACCAGCAGGCCAGCAGCTTGCAAATGGCACCTTGCTGCTCTTAAAGGACATTGTCTGATCCATTGAGCTTTTCTGCCAGGAGCTGGACACTTCCTCTTGGGAAGTCACAGATTACCCGATCCCATCTAGTACAGACAGCCCTGGTGTCCTTTAGGGGAAAGATGATTCTCAGGTTTTCAAGCCAAAGTCACGGCCTCCCTGCTATGCTGTTGGTGATACTCCTGCTGCAAGTTTAACATGGGTTTAGAGGCTTCCACCAACACTGCTATCATCTCTGGAAAGGAATAGGTCGAAATAATCAAGGGATAATGAAAAGCATCCATCATTAGATAAGAGGACAGATAGGGGAGCTGGTGCCTGAGCTTATCAAAACTCTGGGCAGACTCCTGCTCGCTGGCTCCATCCCTTGCGGCTCTTTCATGCACTTACACCTTAATTTCTGATGCCAGAGAAATGCAGCAGGGAGTGCAGGCCCATGAGGTGATGCTGAGGTTGCTCAGTAAGGGTATGGGAAGTGGTTAGTGGGTCAGATGGCTACCCTGATTCAGGTCAGCCTGGAGCAGAGGGCAGAGTCGGACACTTGCTGAGCCAGCCTGTGCCAGGCTGCTTGGACCAGGGTGGAAAACTGCCAGTATGGTCAGAAACAAACGGAATGTCCTGCAGATCACGGAGGGGGAATGCTGATGGGTCTCACTGGAAGGTAAGAGGAAGCATTTCGGTAGGGAAGGCAGCACTTGGCAGTGTTGTTGGCAGTTACCACGTGGAAGAGGAGAAACCATGAACTTCTGCACAGGGGCTTGAAAGAGGAGCACAAGAGAGACTGAGCAGTGTCCAGTTGTGCATGAGGAGGCACCACTGGAGGAAATGAAGAAAGCCATGCTGACGAGTTGGTAAAAGAGGAGGATCTTCCATCTCATTTCATCATAGAGGGATAGTGCAAGTTTGAGGGAGCAGTCAGTCTCTAAAGTGTGTGCCAGAAGCATTGGGAGGAAGCAGATGTGCCTGGGGGGGCAGGATAATCCTTGTTTCAGGCTGTTCTGCACCATCTCTCACCACGTTTGTTTCTTTACAGCTGAGAAAGCCCAGAGGTCTGAGTCAACCCGTGGTCCTGATCAGGGGCCACGATGCTGAGCTTCTCATGGGCGTCGTGAACAAGAACAGAGAGGCCCACGTGAAGATAGAGGTCAAGGAGCCACCAGCTTGGGTGAGAGCCACACCATTCCCGCTGCCTTCTGTACCCTCCCTCCCAAGCTGCTGTGCCATGGAACAGGACTTTCCCGAAGATGCTGAGCGTTCCTCCGCAGGGACGGAGCTCACAGCCCTTTGCAGGTGCTGCCTGTCTGCAGCGTTCAGCTAACGTGCCGCAAATAAAGGCTCAAAAGCGCTTTCAGCTTCTTTAGTTTCTTTTGCTTAAATGTGATGAGTGAGGCTAGGGGATTCCCTGTCTCTTCAGGTGAGACCAAGCCTTGATTTTTCTCATCTTGTGCTACTTTAGACCATGGCCTCTAGGAAGCTGAGATGCTGCAAGACAGAGATTCCCTTCCTGCTGGAATGTGCAGAAAAGACTGAACCCTTTTTCTTTTGCCTGTAAAGAGCGAGGAGGTAGAGCTTGGCCAAGGATCATGTATTCAAAGGCTGATGGTCAGAAGGAGACTGGGATTCCCCTGCCTAGCCTCTAATTCCCTCCCCTGCCACGCAAGAGTAATTTCTTTCCTGTTTTATCCAACAGCCAGACTACGACGTGTGGATTCTTCTCACAGTGGTCAGCACTGTGGTCGTCATCATTTTGATTTTTGTTGTCCGCACAAAGTGCCAGCTGAACAGGACTCAGGTAGGGATCTCGTGGAGCAGACGTGTCTGAGCCAACAGAAACACGGGGAGGGCAGAAACGGGCTCAGTTTGGGAGGAGAAATGCGCCTCTGCGTGAACTGAAGATGTGGCCACATGAGGCAGGAGCTGCCCAGGGTTGAGCGGAGTGATCCTGAGATGGGCTGGCAGCATCCCTCGTGCGGTGGCCTTGCTCTCTCCTGCCGCCCCACCAGCGCTGCAGCCCTAGCACCTTTCAGAGCTTGTCCCAGCACCCAAAGCTGCAGAGCTGGCCCACAAGCTGTGGATTTTGACAGTATTGTCTGTATTGGTAGAGAGTAGAAGATATAGTATTTTTAATAGAAACTAACAAATTAAATAATTGTCTTTCCAGAGTCAGATTTATTTCCAGATTTGAGAATGCCCCGTTTGTCCTATAGAAAGACAAGCCTGGGGCTCAAAAATTCAGCACTGCTGAGTGATTTTGACCGTCTAGTGCCAGATGTCTCCTGCTGGTGACAAAGCCTACTCTGTCTGAGTCAGGTTAGACAAAAAGTCACCACTGGAAATGAGTATTGCCCCCAAAGTCCTGATAGTCCCACTTGAAAAACAGAAGGGCCATGAGAAGTGTGGCGATGTAAGACTGAGCCTCTCCTGAAAGCCTCCTTTCTCCCTGGCAGGACTCCTTGCAGCAGCAGACCATGCAGGCCATCAGGCAGCTGGCCACCCGCAAGTACCAGGCCAGGTGCCGGCAGGCGTCGCGGTGGGACTCGGCCAGCAGCTGCAGCTCAGCCCCGGTCTGTGCGATTTGCCTGGAGGAGTTCAGCGAGGGCCAGGTAGGCTGCGGGCACGGCTGCTGGTTAGTCATGGCTCTGAGGTTCCCAGCTGCACTCCGGTGGGAGCTGCGGTGGGAACAGAGGGCTGGGACTGGCATCCATGGAGGTCTGCCTGCCCCTTGGCCAAAAAAGCCCTGCCCCTGCTGAAGTCACTTGCCTGCAGGTTCAGATTCCCTGAAGACGAGTCTCCAGCTGTCGCTGTAGGGTAAAATGTCCGTAATGCGTTGGAAAAACGGGGCAAAAGTGGCATTTGCTTCTCCAAAGCACTCAGCCTGAAACCCCGCTATTCCCGAGGGCTAGCACCTCTCTGGATGTTCACACCCCAGAGCTGGACGCAGTGAGCACAAGCAGAGCTGCCAGGCTGCTGCACAGCCTCCTCCGTGCAAAGCTGGGCTGCAAAATCGCTCGCCGTTAGACATCTTTCCATCCTACAAGGCTCGCTTCCATCGAGAAGGATCCATCCAGCTCTTGGGACGTGGTTCTCCTTGCTCACACTCCTCCTCTTCTCTCCACCTCTCTCTAGGAACTGCGGATCATCTCGTGCTCCCATGAGTTTCACCGGGAGTGTGTTGACCCTTGGCTGCAGCAACACCACACGTGTCCGCTTTGCATGTTCAATATTCTTGGTAGGGTCCAGACACGGCATTTCCCGGCCAGGGACGGGGTTGGGTGCAGGGGTTTTGCCCAGGAGGTCCATGGGTGACACATACAGCCAGTGTGTCAGCAGGAGCTTGCGTCTCTGTGCGTGTGATGCACAGGGCGGGGTGTGCCCGGAGAGGGGTCCCTGTCCATGTGAGCCCCCCGCAGTGTACGGCGAGGTGCTGGGCTTGGGTTGGGACCTGCACCAAGAGGAGGGGTTTCCAGTCTTGGGATCTGAGGGTAAGGGCAGCAGGGAGGGTGCTGAGTGTGCAGGACCATCAGGATGGTTTGGTGGTGGCAGTGAGGAGTTGCAGGGCACGGGTAGGACGTGGGACCGTAGTGGGAGTGCAGTGGGGGCTCGCCGGTGCTGGGGCTACTGCAGCTGGGCTGGGGGGCCTGTGCTGGATGGTCCCTTCTCTTTCCACAGCCAGAGACTCGGACCAGGCCACAGCCGCTGGCTCCAGGCTGACCCCTCGGGACATGGAGCCCGGACGGCGACTCCACCTTTTCCGCCAGCACCCGGGGCATGCCCTTTACCACCTCCCACACCCGTATCCTCAGAGGAACCTCAGGAGCGTTCCCCCAGAGCCAGCCCATGGCAACCCCTTCTTCCGCTCTCCGGAGCTCTCCCAGCTGGATTTTGGCACGATCCACTACATGCCCTACAGGCCAGCCACCTCCCTGCTCGCCTGCGGCCACCCGTCCCCCCTGGCGCCGGGCTTGCTGGGCCA